TTTTTTTTTTTTTTTTTTTTTATGTTTTTCTTTTTCTCCCCCTAGCTTACAAGGATTTCCCCTTTTATAGAAGAGGGTCATTACCAAAAATATGTAGTGGAAGACCCATGATGACTTGTCTCTTCCTTTATTCCCGCCAAGATTCTCTTTGTTGGTGTGGTTGCAACGGCTCTTGTCTGTGAGCTCGATACTAGCTCGAACTCGTTACTGGGTTGGGCCCTTCGGTCTTGGATCGAGTTCGACCTTGAGATGGGTGTCGCGCATTTCCGACCTCGAAGCAGTGCCTTGCGGATCGATTTGGTCGCGGGCTCGATAGGATTATCGAGCCGCCTCCTCGAGCGACCTTCGGGCTCGAGGTTCGTTAGTACTGACCTCAGAGCTCACTTCCAAAATCTCATTCCGACTTCTTAACACTCGAACTCGATCGAACGTAGGAAGGCCAAAATCTATTTCGACCGTATACAATAGTCAAGAAAATAACCAATAAATTAAATTTCTTACATTTTGGTGTTAAAATTTCTAAAAATAGGAAAAGAAGTGTAGCCAAGTTTGTCAGGTCCGTATTATGCAGTTAAGAAGAATGAGTGCACCCAAATGAATTGCATTTTCATCTCTAAATTAATTGATAATCTTTCTTGGTATAAGCATCCCAACTGTAACGAGCTCGACTAATTCAGATTCGTATTACGTAGGGCTCAGAAGGAAATGCTTTTACTAAGAATTTCTTCCTTCTCATAACTCGAACCTGAAACTTCTAGTTAAATATCAATATATGGATCACATTCATCTCAACACAACCTTTGTGGTAATTGATAATCATTTCCGTTCTTTTGTTTGCTTATTTTTCTGAGGCTTTCACATTATTTTTTTCTTTGTAATTTTTTCATTTTTTCAGCAGAGTTCTTCTTCAAGATTCTTTGGCATCATTTCTTGTTACTGTGAAGACTAAAGAACTCCAGAACTGTCAGTGGAAATTGAAATTGCATGCCTATCTTTGATTTTAACACAAAGTAACGCAGAAATTGCACGTCTCTCTCTTTCCTTAGCATTACAAAAAAGTAGTTAAACAAGTCGTCTACTCGTCTCTCCCTTTGCTTGCTTGATCATTTAGCCTACAGACAAGTAAAACGCTACAACTACGATTAAAATAAGATTAATACTATTGTTTGAGCTTAACTTCTATACAGAGGTTATATTATAAAATTAACTATTTCACTATTAGTTCACTAAATAATGATTATAAGTAACCGTTTATAAAAGCTTCATTTAGATGACAGGAGACTCGACGTAAATTGGTCAGGAGATGAGGAAATCCACCACTGGATAATAAATATTTCATTGTCATTACATTGGAGAATAATGGAAGTATGATAATAGTTTGTGGAAAGTAAATAATGTTAAAGAGGTTAAAATACATTTATAGTATAAAAATCTTTTATATTATCGGTATATATATAAGTTATTCCTTATTCGTCCTTCTAGATTTCCATACAAATGAACCCAACAAAATATATATCATAAATTCAGTGATTTAATTTAATTCAAGAAAATACTGAATCTCCTTGTTCAACTGAACCCTATCATTCGAAAAATGTGATCATTCCTGTAAAGTTTCATTACAAATACATTACCACAATAAAATTCAATTACGAGATCAAGATGCTATATAAACAAAAACTCAACACAAAGTAGGAAAAAAAAAATGAAAGGACTTATGGGGAAAAAAAAAGGAAATTCTATAATCTTTAAAGTAAATAACTAAGGGTAAATTAACCAACCACATCAACCTTAGTAGTGCAAGATAATAACCTCCGAAAAATCGAAGCCAAAGCAGAGCAAGATATCTCCTTTGCCTTTCTAAAACCTTTACATTTCCTTCTAGTCCGTCTCCGGCCACCACTTGAACTACCGCCGCCGCCGCCATCCCCTCGAGCTAATTTCGTCTTTCTTTTACCATAGCATTTTACTGCTTTCTTCTCATCATTTACATTCTCTTCTTCCCTTGAAAAAGTGTAACTCCTCAAATATAATTGCCTACAAGAAATACTATCCACCACCTTAGGATGATGTCCATGTCCATGGCCATTGTTATTGTTTTTCCCTTGCATTTTTGAGCTGACTGATCTTATAAACTCGGCGTCGGATTCAGGCCATTTATAAAGATTTATATACGTGGCACGTACAGGAGCTCTAGCGTTGTTAACGCAATTGGATATGCATTTAGAGGCCATTCTTGATTTTCCGGCGAGGGAGTGATACGTTGGACGTAAAGTTTTGCTTATATATAGTGTGTAGAAACAAGCTTAGATTTGAAGAAAAGTTTGTTTCTAAGTCATGGGGTTTTAGAGGAGTGGAGAAGGACGAAAAGGGCGGCGAGGGTAAAGAAGGAGTCAAAGAGATATGTTTTGAGGGAATTAGTAATAGAGAATAGAGAGAGAGTACTCGAAGTGGAAGAATGGTTTTTGATTATTTAATATATATATATATATATATATATGGATAAAAATAATTTATATATATATATATATATATATTCTTAACGGGTTAACGGATTATCCGTTAAGAAAATTGAATAATCCGCCCCCAAACCGATAAGCCGTTAATAAAAAAATTTCAATCTGTTCCCCGTCCGTTAAACCGTTAAACCGATACCAATAAGCCATTAAGCTTCGGTTTCGGTTCGGTTTTCGATTTCGGTTCGATTTTGAACACCCCTATCAGTAATGGAGGAAATCGGATAAGGGAGAAAGAAAAAGGGAAAAAAAAAAGAAGAAAATAAAAAAGAAGAAAGAAAAGAGAAAGGTAAAAAAAAATACTAATAAAAAGGAAATAGTATTTGTAATACACTTTAATACAATTAACGAAAAAACTAATTAGTTTGGGCGAATTCCGTTTCGAAAATGACATATATGGGCCAACTGTGTAACTTTAAGGGCATATATGGACCAACTATGTGACGATAAAGACATATTTGAGCTAAAGTATTAACGAAGGGCAAATACGCTCAATTTCGTATAGTATAAAGGCATATTTGGAAATTTTCCGTATTGTATTTGATCCCCGACTAGTAGGCAGTTTTGTAAAATTTGGCCTACTACGATTTTTGTTAAAATTATAAGAAAAGATGACGTGTCCAGTCCAGATATGGCGAAAAAAAATAGAAAAATGATCTTATACGGTCTATCATTTTTAATCTTAGACATGTATTATTGGTCTTTACACAGTTTCCTTGGCAGTCTGTGTCATGTTTTTTGATAATTACATTTTCGTGCACGTTTAACCAAAGACCGAAAAAATAAATATCCTATGTCAGTTGCCCATAAGTCAGGGGAATAGAATTGGATAATACATGTCATTTACTCATCCTATAACAAAATTTATGACAGCAGTCCATTTTAGAAATAGTATTACTAGTAGTTTTATTTTTTAAATTTTTTAGGACGAAAAATAGTGAATACTATTAGGGTCAGATCTATCTATAACATCTTTATATAACAGTCATTCAATATAAAAGTCAAATTTTCTTCAGAATCGATTTTTTAAGTTATTTTATTTCTCTATAACAGTTTTTTACCTATAACAGCAACAACCATATTTATAACAGAATGCTCTTTGTAAAATTACCCCTCTCTAATAGTCATATAGAATCATTAAGATTACAAATAATAGTTTTAAAAATATGCACACAATCATTTCCATTAAACAAAGTTTCTATATTGCATAAGATATAAGATTTGTAGATTTGCACATATTATCTTTCTAAGGGACAAAGTTTACAAAATATTTAGATAGAAAATTTAACTCTTAATCTCTTAGATTGTCTTCAAAGGAAAGTTATTGGATACCTTTTTGCTGAAAATTTGGACACGAATTTTCGCCAATTCAAGTGTTATATCATTAGTAAGAGAATAAATCTACAAAACAAGCTACAATTACAAAGTTCTTCCATCAATCTTGAAAGAATTTTATTTTTTTTGGTAGCTTTAAAATGTCTGTTGTGAATACCTAATTTTTGTACTATTTTAACACCTCCTAAAGTCATTAGTGTTTTGTTGATTTAATTATATTTTCCAATTTTTATGTCTTTGATTGCATATTTCCTATCATAAAAATACCAAAAAAAATAGTTCTTTCTTTATTTGTGCATTTTAGGAATTAACTAACTATTCAATTGGTGAATTAATCTAGTTAATTGATCATTTGAATAAGTTACTTAATTAATTTATTTATTTGTGTAAATTTAGTTTAATAAGTAGGATTAAGAAAGAAATTGGGCCAAATTTGAAAGAGAAAGTGGCCAAAAGTGCAAGATAAGGGGCTGCCTTTGAAAGGGTCCGGAACGACGTAGTTTTGCCTCAAAACTACGTCGTTTCATTAAGTGACCCAAGATCAAATCTCACCCATTGATCACCCCTTGATCTAATGGTCCATATTTAATTTCTCAAGAGGTATTTAAAGCCTCAAAAATCTGAAAAATTCCCTCATTTCCCCCATAACTCTTTCTCTCTCTTCTCTCTCTCTCTCTCTCTTCTCTTTCTTCTCTCCGTCGCCGCCGCCGCCGGAAATCACCCACCGGCGGCAGACCACCTCCAAACACCTCCAAATTAACACCATATAATCTCCACAACTCCCTCTTCCCATATCTCCAAACCAATTTCTTCAAAAAACCCTCAAACTCCTTGAATTTTAGATCTAAGAAACTTTAGCCGCCACTTTTTAGTCCAAATTCTTGAAGCTCCGGACAACACCACCCTACAACACATACAAGAATGGATAGAGCTCCACGAGACCTATCTTTTCCTACCCATTTCACCCCCAAAATCCCCGTCGCCGCCGGCCCGCTCCTCGCCGCCGCCACGGCTCCACCGCCTCACCACCGCCAAAATGCCCCGAACCCCCATTTTAGCTATTTTTCGACTCAAAGACACTCGTTTCTTTTGGCGAGATGCTGAAACGCATTTCGTTCTAGCATCTACCCGAAAGAAACATGCGTTTCGGAGTCGGGTAGTCGCCTTTTAGCATCTCCGGCGTCTTCTCGTGGCTCGAACGACTTCAAGCATACTTGTTAGGTATAATCGTCATCTCTTTAATTAATTTCTGATTTTTTTTATTTAGTAGATTAGTTTCTGATTTTATTTATTTATTTATTTTTCTGTTTTGGTTATTTCTTGTTAATTAGAGTTTCAAGTTAGGTTTATTTAATTAGCTACCTCTATTTAGTTTAGTAGTTTGTTAGATTCGTTATTGATTTAAACATGATCTTTAGTGTATTAGTTAAATCGTTCCCTTAGTTAGTCGATTATTTAGTTGTTGTTAGTCGTTGTTCGATTGTTAACGATGCTCGTTCTGTTTTGAGCATTAGTTTGTGAATTTAGTTGTTTGTTTAGTAATTAGTTTGCACAAATCGAATTCATTCCCATCAAGTTGGTTTTAATACTTAGTTCAATTACGTTTTTAGTCTCGTCTATGCTTTGTCAGTTCATAGTTGTCCAAGTTTGATTTGTGTTGAGCAAGTAGTTTGTTGTTGATGGTTAAAATCTGAAATTTAGTTTATTTTATCACAAAATAGGGTAATAGTAGCTTACTTTTACTAGTAGGGTGGCTGAAAGGACATTTTTTCTCCTTGCTTCTGACACAACAGATTTTCAGGTTGTCCTTTCACCTTTGGGACAGACCTTGAACAGTGTTTAGCACATAAAGTCAGTCTTTTGGACAGATTTTTGGTGAACCAAAATCTGTCCAAAAAATCTAACTTTATTTGCCTATTGAAAGGGTTGTTTTTCTCCTATAAAAGGGACTCACTTACACTTAGAATGCAGAGGCCTACTCACTGAAAAGGGGGACACTCTATCTTATACTGAGACACATCTTGGAGAGTTGCTTAAAGATATATATCTTTGAGAAAAATCAGCAGCTTAATACATATAACAAGGTGAAATTTCAGAGTTTTTTGAGGATTATTTGAGTGCAAAAACCTCGAGAAAAATAGAAAGATCCCTTAGGCAATTTGTGAAGTTGATATCTACAAGTTTCAAGCATCTTTGTTGAGTTTTCTGGGTTGTCTTAACACTTGAGTTGCTGCTGTTTCTACTGTATTTGCTGCTGAGTTTTTTTTTTTGGTTACTGCACTGCTGTATTTTATTATTCCACAAACCAGGTAACTTTTAAATTCTTATATTGCAGATTCTT